AGTTCTTTGGATACCAATATTTATTTTTATTTCTACACATACGCACATCTTCCTTTCTCCCTTCCTCCCTCCCTCCCTCCCACTTTCAAAGAACTGATTGTCATATTTAAAGCTCTACACGGCTCCAGACTGGATTCTCTATAGCAGGGGCCCCCAACCCCTGGTCCGTGGACCAATGCCAGGCCGTGGCATGCCAGCAACCGGTCCGCACAAACAAGGAAAGCCCCATCCACAGGATGCAGACAGCACACAAAACCATGCCCTCCCTGGTCCGCAGAAAAATCTCTCTCCACGGAACCGGTCCCTGGTGCCCAAAAGGTTGGGGACCTCTGCTCTATAGGACTCTATAGGATTGCCTTGGGTCAACTGCCTCTGGTTCTCACCTACATAAGAATCTTGGTGGGGTTCTGAAAGTGGGCATTCTTGACTACTGCCCCCATGTTTTGAAATTCCATTCCCATGTCCAGTCTGTTCTTTCACTCCCGGCTTTCCAGAAAGCAGCTAAAATTTGTCTGCTCCAAGTAGCAGAGAAGGAGGGCTTACTGTGTCTGAAACTAGCAGGTGCATAACTTTGTCTATTGTTGATAGTTTGGATATTGCCATTAATTCAGTTTATATTGCATTTGAGTTTATTTATTATTGCATTTTAGTCTAAGATTTGTTTTTGATTGTCAGCCACTCAGATCCTTTGAGAGCAGAGGGCATACAAATAAAATAAGACCATCACTCAATGGTATATTAGCAATAATTCCATGCACCACTTCCTGAAAATGGCCCATTACATCAGAGCAAAGCCTGTAATCTGATCACCAGTATTTCCTCACGCCCAACTCAGTGTACATCTAGAAGAATACCAGGAGTGATAATATAAAAGAGTACAGAGAAGTCGAGGAAACCCATTTTTTCTCAAAAATCATTTGGGAAAACACAACACTTGCCTCTTGTTTCAAGCACACTTTTGTCGAGTCTCCTCAATATCTCAAGAATGCCATACCACCTTCTGAACTTAGCAAACTATTCCTTCCCTGCAAGATTAACCAATCAAACAAAAGCTTGAGCACACAAAGGCTCTGGCACAAACAACTGAAATTCAACCAAAAGAAATTGGTTCCTGACTTATGACATTATATAAATTGTAGAATTGAAATCCAGGAAACAAAAACACGCTTACTTGATAATATTCCATCTCTACTTTTTCAAATATAATCATCATACCCTTTTTCATTATCCTGCAGAAATCAGGAGGAAGCATTATCTCTTTTTATATGGAACAGAAGACAAAGTTGTATCCAACACACACACACACACACACACAAACACACACAGAAAAATTAGTTTAAAAGACACTAGGAATAACCCAGAATTAACCACAGCGAAATTCCATTTGTATTTGTTAAAAGGCTCTTTTGTAAGATTCAGAATAAAGCTTAGATTCTGAACTATATTTATCTTCTTCCCACGGCAGTGAAAGATTCCATAAATAAGCAAGATTTTAACGTATTACTATTCATACATTACTTGCACAGCATAAAAATGATAATAAAAAATGAACATACCAAAAAATATATAGGACATATGGTAAGTTCTTTAAAGGTACCAACTTTACAAAAATATGTATATCCACATAAAGAAAAAATTCTTAAATTCTATTTTTTTCAAAGATGCAGTGTAAAATTAACTGCCTTAAAGAACACTATGTTTCTGATCATCTCATATTGAGACCAATTCTACATTTTTTCATAATTATTCTCAGAGAATAAGTAGAAAAGGTGTGCTGTAAACTTCAATGAAAAAGAATGGAGGACACTTATACATACTAAATGATTGTCCCAATACCATTTTTGTTTATGATATCAGCAGAAAAATGGACTTAAAGATGTTAATATGTGGTAAAATTTATACCAAAATTTGGAATTTATTAATACATGAAGATCTATGGATTTATCAAATATGGGGTATAGTAAATTATTACATTATGATGGAAAAATTGCCTGGAGGAATATGTGTTCTTTCTCTCCTTATGCATTGGCTTGCTATCAATATAATATAAAGGCTTAATATTTAATCAAGACATATTTCTGTCTTTAAAAACAACATGCTTCCCCCCCTTTTTTTCTCATATGTTTGGGTATTTCTCTTAAGAACTATTCATGTAATTTCAACCTGTTTCAGGACATGCTAAAATGAATATTAACACACTCAGCTCTGTATGAAATATATTATTTGTTTTGTTGCTCCCGTTTTTGGAATAACAAAAGCAGTTTTGCAAATATTGCTTCAGTCATTATTCATGGATTAAAGAATGCTGTCCTTCTGATAAATTAAAAAAATATATAGAAATTTATATTTCTATAGTTCAGTAACTGGTTAGTTTATAAAATTTTAATTTAAATCATCTGCTACTTAGCAAAACTATTTTTGTTTGGCACAGAGCACTACATATATATAATTTCTAAATTTTTGCTTTGGAACTAACTGAATTTTTTCCACATATATCAATAATCATTGAATGATTCCTAAAACCCCTTGCCATTCATCATGCTAGCTGTGGTTGATAAAAATGTAAATCTAAAGGGCAAAGTTTGCCTATTCCTGACTTAGCAGTAACGAACAACAGAGTCCTATTTATTTGTTATTATACTATATGCTGCTTAAGTAGCTTTATTTAGGGCTTTTCCTACTGGACTTATTAGAGTTATTTTTTAACACCTCCTTTCCCTTTCCTTTTTCAAATCGAAGACAATGACCCATTTGCAACTTAGAAAATCAAATTAATCTAGTGTGCTATTATTTGAATTCCAAAAATAATATTTTAACTAAAACATCTATACATTTTAAATAATCCTGGGGATTTGCCAATGATTACAACTTATCTCAGACAATATTAATCAAGGCAATATTAATTAAGGTGTTGCTTAAATGTTGGTAACTTATTATTGAATTTTCAATATTTTTGCATAAATGTGACCCAAAATGTAATCTGTTCTTGATCCAAGCCCTAAAGTTAGATAAAAACCCAATTAAGCAAATTACTCAAAAACTTTGTGATGCTTGATAAAGTTCATAGACCATGCTTTTTTGAAACTGTAAAACAAGAAGAAGGAGCAATGGATGTTTAAGAAATTAATGTGACAGGAGATTTATAATACAAATAGATCTGATGGATAACTTATTACATAAAGGAGATGAACAGACTTTAAATCAGGAAACTGATTTGGATAATTTTTTTCTTCTGAATATAAAAATAAATTCTGCTAAGATAGAAGAAAAATCTGTTAAAATTCTAAAGGATTTTTACTTTGAAACACAGATAAAAATAAATTACCTCTGGGACTTTTTTTTGACAAAGTCAAAGAATAATTTTAAAAAACTCAGAGAAGATTTATGAGATTGACTTGTTTAATTAGGTGGTTTTTTAAAAAATTATATCTGGTTGTCCTTACTGGACTTTTATGGATAAAGACTGATTGACAGAGCATTTGGACTTTGTTTTTCTTATCTAAGAAATGAACTATGAGAAGAAGACAGATTATGAAGGCAATAGTCATAGCTAGTTGCCCTTGCTGGACTTTTGCTGATAAAGATTGATTAACGTGGCATTTTGATTTTGTCTTCCTTAACTAAGAGATGAGCTATGGAGAGAAAAGAGATTATGTTTTATTTAGAGACAATGATAAACTATTAAAATTGTTTTTACCTGCTGGGATGAAGAGAGAAACTATGTTATTCTTTACATGTGTAATACATAATACAATTCTTTGCAAAAACTTTATACTTGTTCATTTATTCATTAAGGAAAATGGTCCTCAAATAGTAGAAATTTTACTTTCTTAATTTTGAAGTTTTCTAAATATTAAAATGATTATAATTTGAAATGATTATGACTCAACTGTGTACCAAGGCTTATAACATTACAATAAAAGGGGGAAAAAAGAAAAACAAATACTGAGAGCCAGTTTGGTATAAGAAACTATGAGTTCTAGTCCTCGATTGGTCATGAAAGACAGCTAGATGACTTTGGGCCAGTCATTCTTTGTCAGCCCAACCCACTTCACAGAGTTGTTACTATGAGGAAAAATAAGAAGGAGGAGTATTATATACTTTTGCTGCCTTGAGAGATAGAGAAAGAGTTACAAATCTAATAATAATTCTGACAAATGGATTGCTCCTTCCTTTGTCCTCTGAATTATTCTGAAAACTGGCACCCTCAGGGAATTTATAGCAATATTAATATCAATAGTGTTTAGACTTATATATCACTCCATAGTGCTTTACAGCATTCTTTGGGTGGTTTACAATGTCAGCATATTGCTCTCAACAATCTGGGTCCTCATTTTACCAGAAGAATGGAAGGCTGAGACAACTTTGAGCCCTGTCAGGATCAAACTCCAGTTGTAGGCGGTTTGGCTGCAATACCACACTTTAGCTACTGTGCCACGGGGCCCTTTTATTTATGAGCATAATTGACTTAATTTACAACTTTACGAGTGTAGAGTACTTAACATTATCGATTATTTCAAACTTAGAAATACCTTGTATCCTCATATATATTAAATATGATGTGATGTTAATTATACAAGAAGCCGATAAATAAATGAACATTCATCTCAGAAATCCAATCTACTGGCGAATCTGTAGTCCTGAGGATACTGTTAAATTATATCCTTCTCTGGTTATTTGATTTTGTTTTTGGTGCCTTCAAGTTAGTGTTTATCCCTGGTGACTGACTGACCAAGTCCCCTCCAGTTTTCTTTGCAATGTTTTTCACAAATGGTTTGCAACTGCCTTCTTCCTAGGACTGAGAGGGAGAGAGGGAGAATTGGCCCAAGGTCGCTCAGCTGGCTTTGTGCCTAAGGAGGAACTAGAACTCATGTCTCCAGTTTGTAGCCTGATGCATCAAACTGTCTGTCTATCAAGCATTAAAATATTTTATTGATCAAGATAACAAAAACACAGAACGCTATATCTTTTTGTTCATTAAAAAGTACTTTGATACATACTTTGGGATAATCCAGTTCAAAGAAGGTTTCCAAGTTGTTAATAAGATTAGGATCAACACCCTTTAAAGGCTTCAAAAGTGAAACACCTGGAAGCTTGCTGTATGGTTGTTTATCTGTTGCTTTCTTGTTGAGGTGTAGGTGCCTAAAAGAAAAAAGTGCCATTTAAGAAATGCAAGAATAAAATGGTAATTAAACTTTAAACACTCCTAGGCAAATATTCATGTTTGCCTTGTCGGTTTCATTGCAGTAGCAACTTTTAAGCATACAAATCTGCTCTAAATAAGATACAGAAAATGTTAAAGGAAATCTCATGCAAAAATATGTAATAATGCTATAAGTCAAAACATTGATACTTTCACATCCATTCCATATTCCTGATTACATTAATGTCCTGAAGATGAAAGGGAAAAATGAATAGGTCAAATATTTTTATTTTATTCTAGCAGTCTATGTTTGAGAGACATTTCCAAATGCCAACACTTCTAATCTTCTGTCTCAGAAAATAACATGATTCAAATAGACAAAAAGATAGAATTATTCACTTTTATTCACTCCATCAATCCTAAGAAAAATCCCTCATTGTCATAGAGATTTCACTAAAAATAAATCCAAACAGTAATGGAGGATATTCTACTGTCAAATCTACTCAATTCACGTTAATCATTAAACCCTGCCCTACCCTTTTTTTCACAGTCTGGAGATTTCTTTTTTTATATAACTAAATGTATGTTTACCAGATGTTTAGAAAAAAATCATTTCCAAAAAAATATCTATGCTTCAAAAATGAATTCCGTATTACTTCAGCAAACATGTCAACAAAAAAACAAAATATGCAATATGAACAATTTCATTGTAACAGTAATCATAAGCCACTGATAGTGGTTTAGCTCCAAAAAATGAAGAACATTTCAAAAGAAACAATTTCAAAGTTAAAAACTTCATTTTTAATATGAACAGATTATGAGTTTTTCAGAATACCTTGAAATAACTGTTTCAAGCTCAAAACACTTCCAAAATGCTAAAAAAATCTTGTGGGAAAAAAATCTTGTGGGAAGCTACTATGCACTCCAACTAAGGTGTTTTAAATTTAATTAGAATGAAAACATCTCTACCTACAAATATGAACAATGTATGCAAGAGTACCACAAAAAATAGCCTACATTTATAAAATTCATATTAATGTTCAATTTTTGTCACAAATATAGATTTGTGCATATATGTATGTTTTCAAATATAGATTTGTGTGTGTATGTTTGTATATTAACTTTACAATATAACAGGTGTTTGCTTATACAGGTACATGATTGAGGCATAATACTTTAAACCAGCTATTATTGCTTGGTTCCCAAAAATATAAGCAGGATTTTATATAATTATATTTGTATTTGAGTAGGAAACCATCAGGAAATGCAGAACTATAGTCTAGAGCAGGGGTAGGCAACCTTGGCTCTTTTATGACTCGTGGACTTCAACTTCCCGAATTCCTGAGCCTGCATAGCTGGCTCAGGAATTCTGGGAGTTGAAGTCCACGAGTCATAAAAGAGCCAAGGTTGCCTACCCCTGGTCTAGAGTCTAGACTGAAAAGGTGAAATAAATCTTGGAAGAAGACAGTGAAAACTATTTCAATACTGCTGCCAAGGAAATTACACAGAGTAGGTGTTAAGCTCAACTGGAAGAGACATGTACTTTTTATTTCCATATAAATCACATGTGCATGCTAAAAGAACAATTAGAGAGAATACCACAATGTGTTTGGCCACATTTTAGCACACATCAAAAATGGCACTATGTACTCTAGATTGGAATTAGGCAAATCACTAACAACCTTAATTTCTCCTGGCCAACCAAGAATCTTTTTCACAGCTAGGTTTGATGTGCTCTTTTTAGCTTAAATGGAGTTTTACTAAAATTCCTATGAGTCAAAGATTGTTCCTTGCTGCATTGGAGGCTCTGAAACTATCACCCACATGCTACAGTATATTACAATTACAAACATGAAAGTGGAGGAAGCTACAGATATCAAATTAGTTAACTGACTATATCAGCCTTTCTCATTCTAGCCATCCCCATGCTGGCTTGGAGTTGTAGTAATCCAATTCAACTGGCAGATGCCAGGTTAAAAGGCTGGATAGTTAAAACAATTATTTTTCATTTGGGGTTTCACCTTAGCCTTTATTTAGAAGAAAAATTATAGGCCAGTTACAACTAAGCAACAGCCAAATGAGCAATATGCATTGTTTTATATCAGTGGTTCTCAACCTGTGGGTCGGGACCCCATTTGGGGTCGATCGACCATTTCACGGGGGTCGCCAAGCAAGGCTGTCCGCCATTTTTTTGTCCGCCATTTTTTCCCCTTTTCCGGCGGGTGCCTTACCTCCCTTGGGCTGGGCCAGCTGGTGGTCAGCCTGCTCCGTCTCTGCTGCTTGGCAGCTACGCCTCGGCCGGCGCAGGGGGCAGAACCACGCATGCGCGGCGCTCCCGGGCAGGGAAAGTCCTTGACTTACAACCAGTTGGGTAGTCCTCAACTTACGACCGGTTTAGTCCTCGACTTACGACCGGTTTAAGTCCTCGACTTACGACCGGTTTAGTCCTCGACTTACGACCGGTTGGGGTCGCGGCATTAAAAAGGTTGAGAACCACTGTTTTATATGCTAATAAATACTAACATGCTAATAATATATACTAATCATACTCAATCCATATTGGAACTGGTAACCTCTGATAACTTGTACCAGCTCCCGAGCATCAGCAGAATACTTTCCCTTTCAACTAATTAAATATAGTCTACTATCCTGAGGTGATGACAACATTTCTTCCTTACAACACTCTGCAAGTCTGTTAGAAAAAGCACTTTCCCACATACCTAGCAGATAACCCATACTTAATTAAAGATTTATTTTCTCCAAACCTGAATCCTGTTCTCTCAGCAATTCTCATCTGCCAGGGCTCCATAATTATATTTCTTAACTCTTTTGCCACAAGCAAGCTATTTTGTACACTTATTCCATCTGATGGTTTTATTTTTCCACTTAATGTAGAATGCTGAAAAGCAATTTCTCCCATGTATGAAACCAAATTCCATTTTTAATTAAGATATACCAAGATCTTTCAAAACATACTAAACCGCCCATGTTACACTCGTAGGTCTATCTAGCTCACTGTAATCTATAATAATAAAAATTATTTTGTAGCTCTATTTGTAGATGCCCAGGACTGAACCTGGAAACATCTACATCTGTAGGTTTAATGTCAGGCTATAGACCTGCCTACACAAAATGTAGGTTTATTATCTGTGTTTTCCCATTTGCTCTTTATCTTACCTGCTATAGCAACTTAAGCAGCCCCCCATTTTATGTTATTTGAAAGCTCTTTCTCTTTGAATATTAAAGATACCTGCATTAAAATGTAGTGGTACAAAAAAAGAAAAAAATAACAGGCTTTTATCAGTTTTAGCCACAGATATTGAACCCAAATCAGATAAGCTACTCCATCTTCATTAGAGTAAGAAAACACAAAATACTTCTGTTTGAGGCATTTATAGATATTGATTCCTTTGGGTAGGAATCAACAGGTTTCATTAATTACTAAACATTCTTACTCACAGACAGTTCATTCAGTAGTGAAAGGGAATTTGTCAATTCTTCAGAACAATCTGAATCCTACAGTATTGTGACCTACAATTTAATGCGAGCTTCATCTTAATAAATACTTGAAGAAGGATAGATTAGCGCTTGGAGAAGATACATTAATTTACTGGGGGTAAACACTGCAGCACAGACTGATTTTTTTTCTAAGCTGGTGGTTGCTTTTTTTCTTACAACCATGGAGGCATTCATGCCTTTTTGCTGAATCTGCTTCTCTTTTCTCCACTTTACCAACCTTTGGTAGCTGGCCAGATTTATGATTTATACCAGGGATCAGCAAATTACAGCCTCAGGGCCATTTCCTGTTTCTTTGAAGTCCTCAAGATGATGGACAAGTAGGGGGCAGATACTAGGCCCAAACCTCAGCCACGCTCCCAGGGAGAAGAGCAGGTCAAGAGGCAAAGGGCTAGAGCAGGGTATCTGGGGCAGCAGGCTATCAATGGCCTCCTTGCTGGTAGGCCTGTGCTGTTTTATACTACACAAACTCTTAGTCCAAGGGTCCCCAACCCCCGGTCTGTGGACTGGCACCGGTCCGCGGCATGCACAAACAAGCGAAGCCCCATCCAAAGGATGCAGGCAGCATGCAAACCATGCCCCCTCCGGTCCACAGAAAAAACTTTCTCCAAGGAACCGGTCCTTGGTGCCCAAAAGGTTGGAGGCCGCTGTCTTAGTCAACAGCATTTGTCTTTTCTTTGTTTTTTTTTTCCATTAAGCTCTTTCTCTGTAAGCTTTACAGGCCTGTTCATTTACTACTCTCTCTTTGATGCCTTACCCTCAGCTACGCCTTCAAGTCCAAGTAACTGCAGAAAGCAAGCACTGTTTAATTTAACTTTTCAAAAACAATACTAGGAGCTACAAAGCATGTATACAGTTTAGGAACGGCAAAAGGATTTTTGGACAGCCATAGTTTGATTGTCTCTTAACATACACGATACAGGAAAGATTGCCAGGCAGCTAGCTTTATTTCATTCAATGTCTCACAATGAGAATATATCTATATCTTTATCTATTAACTATACCCCTAGCCATATAGCTATGTACCTGTATAGCTTTAGTAAAGTTTTGCTAGGGTTTATTACAGCATGTACACACACACACAAATACACGCACACACACCAAGGTAATAACAACAGACTAATTTTTTCCTTTATCAGCAGTAGCCATCGATTGTGCTGTCCTTCTGGACTGGCTCCAGGGATTAAGGGTGGGAGGCATGAGAGAGCCAAACCCTGAGGGCTCCTTAGTCTAGAAGGGCCTATGGCTAAAACCCTCTCCCCTGCCCCAACACCAAACGAGCCTGGCCATATAGGAAAGAGAACCACTGCAAAACAGTGCTCCCCACCCCTAATCCCTGCAGCCAATCCAGAAGGATACCACGGTCGATTGCACTGTAAGCCACTGAGAGATTCAGGGCTTCCCCTGGTCCAAGCCCCCCAAAATTCATCCACAACCACAACAAAAGCTGTAACCTGCCCTGAACCCAGACTGTTATGACTGG